CTTAAAGTTTGCTATCCTTCAGTTCACCTCATTGCTTTGAACAGATATTCTGAATAAAAATGTAGGCAAAATGAAAGATTATGACTAATATTCAGATGCCATTTCCAATAAGGTCAATAACAAAAGATTCCACAAAGGAATCATTGTTTTAAGCTATTTTGCCATGTATTACTACAAATCATATTTACAGTTTTTAATTCTAGCATGTATGAGGCCCTGGTTCAATCTCCCAATACTTAAAAAAAATTATTAGGCATCCTATGAAAATTTAAAAATGATTTCCTATTTTGTTTAAAATAAGATGCATATTTCAAGTAAGGAAGGATAGGTTAGTTTGTCATTACTTCATACAATTTTAGGGCACATCTTTTGAAGTTTTATCATTTTTTGCCCTTAATAATAGGGATGGAATGCTAAAGGCCAAAGAGCCTGATTTGATATCTTGCTTACTGTCTTCCTGTCTACCTCAGCTCCTGCTATCTTGGGATAAGCTGTCTGATACCTTGATAATAAACTGGACTTCTGCTCTAGTGACTTTATCACATTCCAGCAGCTTCAGTATTAACCATCCTGAGTTTCCCTTCTGAAATCTCAAATTTCAGTAACTGATGACAATTCTCATCTTTTCCTCTTTTTTATTTCCTGATTTTTGTGTCATCTGTAGCTTCTTCACAGCCTTTTCTTGCTCCCCTTACTCCTAAATTATCAAACCCCTTTCAGGTTTTCTTTCTTCCCTGTTCACCCTCAGCTTTCTGGTGCACCTTATGTACTATCCCTAGTTGTTCCTTCTGTCATTATTCTTTAGGCTAGTCATTCTGTGAGCCCTAACATTGAATGAGCTACCTTTTCTGGGTTGTTGAGTTCTGTGGGAAGGGCATGTAGTCCTTCAAAGTGGAATCACATTGTCTCCCAAGCCCTTACAATAAGCCTTTTGTTTGTCACTAGGTGGCCTTTCCCTTTTCCCACTGTATTTGAGCCAAACTTTGTCACTTTCCTCAGATACTCTGCCCCTCCCCTAGAGCATGGCCCTTCCTCCTATCATACACAAAGTTGAAGCTATGAAGGATATTAGCAAGTATTTACTATTTTTATTCATTTTCCCCTGTTCAGAGGAAAAGAGGTTGCTTGCTTCCTTTTGAAGACAAATCTATGTTACAGATTTCATCTGTGTTATTTCCCTCGTTTTCCTGGTGACTTCTCATTTTCTACTAGAGTTCTCTTCCTTCTGTCCCCCTTTTCCCTCATTTTCCCCCTCCTTTTTACTCTAATAATCTTGTTATATGATATCATTCACAGCCATTGCTTCCTCCACCACCTATAATATCAAGCTGATTCCCAAATCAGTAACCTGGACCTCAGCCTCCCTCTTGCTTGCTAAATCTCATTTCTAAAGGTCTCTTAAATAATCTTCACTTAGAAAAACATCCACAGTAATTTTAAGTTCAGTATGTCCAAACATCAAATCCTCCCTCATCTTTTGTGCATAATCTTTCTTGCTTCATGTTTTCTTATTTTTAGAACTTTTGCAGAGTTGCATACCTTCCCAGCTTTCTCTTTGTAAACATCCTGTGTAATCATATTCTAGTCCAGTTTTTCTCAAACATTGAAAACCCATACTTCTTTTTCATAAACATAAAAATTCATACAGAGCCTTCAGGGCAAGGAGAAATTCTCCCCATCCCTGCCAAGCCCCCTGGCTTATCTTTGCACAGCCAAGAAGATTTGTATTTAACTTAGCGTTTTAGCAGGTTTTATTATGAAAATACCTTTGTGCTTTCTGAATATAAATATTTAAGGAATTTTTAATATGGTTTTTAGAAGCACAGACTGTCCCTTTTTATTTTAGAGATCATGATCAATCAGTCATAAGTACTTCCAGTTCTTTCTACAAATATGCTTGTGTTTTTTCAGTCTTAATAACTTGGTAGACATCATTAATTCTGTGCCCTTCTTTGTGGCCAAGTGAACACCTACTTATCTTTTAGGATGCAGCTTCATTGATATTGTGTCCAAAAACTTTTATCAGCCTTCTCCAGTCTAAATTAGATGTTTCTTTGTTATATTGTCTTAGTTTTCCCTTCCTGTGCTATCACACTTACCACATTGTTTTGTAATTATTTTCCTTACTACTGGGTGAAATGTACCTTTACACACAGTGCTTCAGGCATGGTCGCCCTTAGTAATTTTTTTAAATTAATGAGGCATGATTCAAAGTGTCAAACTGCACAAAAGAGTTGCTGCTATTGGATTCCAAACTGCCATGCTCTTTATACCAGTGGTTGATATATATCTCCTCAGAGGAGGAAAATATTATTTAGATTCCAAACCTGAGAAAACAAGAGAATTTTATCTTCAGAAGCTTGTAACTTTATTTTGCCTTCATGACCCTTGTAGACTCACTGGTTGGTGAGGTATTACTGGGTGCTTTTTTGGTACAACTTTCCATTATCCAAACAATTGGAGAATAATTTGTACACCATAACAGTAACAGTGGTTTTTACTCTGGTGTGTGATAAATGAAAAAAAAAAATTTTTTTTTTCTTTTGTATGTGTTAAGGCCTTCTAAGTAAATTCTTTTTCATTTAGAATGAAATCACCTTAGAATACCAAATATTCTATATAAGGAAAGTAGTATAATCCATTCATTCAGCAACTACTGCCTTTTGTCTCAGGCACTAAGGGTATTGCTACTAAACACCCTCCTCTTTCAGAATTCTAGAGGAGGAAGTAACGCAAAGCATTTTAAGGAGTATAGTGTCAAGTGATCAGTACTATGAAGAGTAAAGCAGGGAAGGGGCTAACAGGATTTGGGGTGGGTGTTGTTTTACCTAAAGTGGTGGGGAAGTCACCTCTAAGCACCTGTCTACTGCTGAAACATTGTGTCTTCAAATTCAACCCTGTTGTGTAAATGCCTTGTATTTATAGTATATTCATAAATATACTATTTATATATATCATTTTCTTTCCTATGGAAGTCCTGATACTGAATTAAGGTATGACTTACTACTTAAGACCTTCACATTTTGTTACATTTAAAGGATTTCTTTTTAGTGTGGTCTTTACTAATGGGTGATGTTATTACCTAAAGGTCTGTTGCACTTTGTACATGTGGGGTTGCTCTTCAATTTGAATTCTCTGATAGCTAATAAAATTTAAACTCTGCTAAAGGATTTTTCACAGTTCTTAAATTTGTATGATTCTTTTCCCAGTATGAATTTTCTGAAGTCAGCAAGACTTTAACACATAATTAAGGGCCTGATTTGCTACATTTATAGGGTTTCTGGCCACTGTGAATTAATTGATACTGATAAAGGTGCAAATTATGACTTTTCCTTATTCCTTTGCCTATACTAGAGTGAGGTGAGAGTCATTGCTAAAACCTAACATAAAATTACATTCCTTTACAGTCCAGCTGCGAATTCTCTGATATTCTTTAAAATGTGAGCTATGTCTAAAAGCATTCCTAGATTCATTTAATGGTATTTTCAAGAACCCACAGCTGGTTAACATGCTAGTTTTAGACTGTCTCTTTTCACCTTCCCTTTTCTTCTAGGGCCCCTTCAGTAAGGGTTCCCCATCTGCCACAAATCCAAAATTCTATAATACTCTATTACCACGTCTCTGTATTTTTTTAAACACATACGAATTGTTGTACTTATGGAAGTATTACATTGAGATACATTTAATATAGCCATGATTAAAGTATGTATTATATATTTATGCTGATGTTCTCTACTGTTTTGTTTTTCCTACTTCTAGTGAAAAATCCAAGTAAAATGTTTTGGAACATTTAAAATTTGTAAAAAAATAAAATCAAATTCCCCTACTTGTTTCTTGTGTTTTTTTGTCTTCTTTTTTAGTTTATTGTTGCATTGCTTCTATCATCTCAGTTTATTTTTCTACCTTCTGAATGTTATTTTCGTCTCGTCTTGATAATTTTCAGACAGGGTAGCATAAAGATGAGGATTGTGGGTTCTGGAGCTAGTAGGCCTGAGTTGAAATCACAGCCTATTTCCTGACTCTGTATTTTTATGAAAGTGACTTAATCTCTGTGTCTTAATTTTCTATTTTTTAACACAGGAATATTACTAGTACCTACATCACAGAATTTTGAAGATTAAGTGAATTAATACTCAAAAAGTGTTTTGTTCAGTGCCTCTCTATGGTTAAGAACACATAAGAGTTAGCTATTATTGTTTTCTTTAATGTCTGAGTAGTTCTGTATATAACCCCTACCTCATTCAGCAAGCTAATATTAGAATGCTCATCAGTCAGAATAATTGAATAACAAACTCTTGTGTCCAGTGTATACTGCCTTTTCCTTAGTTCAAGCCATGCTTGGACATTTTAGATAGGAAGCAGGTTCTTAAGAATTCATGGGCTGGATAAGTATCTCCAATACATGTTTTTTCTTGTTCATATGGCCAGAAAACCTAAAATTTAATTGTTGAAACATCTTCAGCTCTAGCATCCAGATATACCCACTATATGTAGATGTATTCATCATCTAGGCATCATGTACAACCTATTTAAAACTTAGGCTTTTAATAATCAGCCTCGTAACTTTTGGTGGATTTCTAAATTCACAAGCCAGAGGCATTTAATGAAATATAAT